TACAGACATTCAAATGAGAAAAGATTTTAGTTAAAACAGGAAAAACACTGTGTTTTGCAGTCATTTTTTATGATTTTTCATGGAAGCTGTTCAGTGTGGAAGTGTACAGTAGGTGGTTACTGTATTTGAAGGAATTACCAAAATGTTTTGCTTGCATGTGTGGAAAAACAAGGGGGGTGCTTTTGTTATTGTTATTATACGTGGTGGCATTACTAATATAATATGTTTTTTTTTTTTTATTCCAGCAACCTTTTCGTTTCAAACCTTTTTGCTTCAGCCACATTACCAGAGGAAGCTGTGCTGGAGGAACATTGATTACTCAGAGGTCTCTATATTTTCTTGATCAGAAATGCCCAACAAACAAACAAGCAAAATAAACTCACATGCAATAAGGTCTACATTGAACTGCAACTTTTTGTTAAATTCGATAATAACTGCATAGCAAAATAATGCATAATCTCCGGTCTTCATTGCAAATTCTTGCGTCTTTGCGTTTAGCTCCTTTGAAACCAGGGGCTCTGAGGACTCGTCCTGATACATGACTTTCCCAGACAGCTGCTGTCTTAAAGTGATATTAAACTTCTACTATTATCTCTCAAGATCTTCATATCCTGATAGACCTACTCCTGCTGTACTGTAGGTAAGAATAAAAACAAACTGAAGCTGATGAATCTCATGTTCAAGTGGACAGAAAAGCTGCTGGTAACTTGTTTTCTGTTTCTATATGGTATTTTAAGGTTTGTGTTTTTTTTTTCAAACTGTTGAGTCCACATGCAATTTTATATTTTGTTAACACTGTATCTCATATTTCTGGATATTGAACAGTATAAATGACATATTAAATGTTTTAACTATGACATAGGAAATACTGTACACATATTCAGTTCTGTTTGTGGATTTCTGTTCCAAATACAAAAATGCTCTTAGATAATTCAGACATTAAACCATACAAAAAATATTGCTGTAGTAAACAAAACAATTTTACCTCAATTTCTGAAAGTTTAACTAAAAAAAAAAACAAGTTTAAATTTGACATATAATACTATAGTTTAAAATTATTAATGGCTTATTTTTATGCTGATGGTTCTAAATACATTTGGGATATAAACTCGTGAAAGAATATTGTATTTGCTTTAAAAAGAGTCTCATTCTTAAGAGTCCATTCAATGTTAAAACAGCAACAATTTTAAACCCTTACATATATTAGAAAAGAATAGCATATTGTCTATATAACATACTGTACTGTATATTATAATGACATTTAGGAATGGGGGATAAGACATTTGTTATTTTCTGATTTTTTTATTGCCGTTTTTTGATCGTTAATAAAAATAAGTAATATAATATTTAAAAAGGTAATAGCATATAAAGAGATATTATTAATAGCATTATTAATATTAATATTATTAATAGCATATAAGAGATTCCTCCTCTTTTGTTTGGTAATTTTATTATTGCTTTCAGTATGTGCGTACCTTTTTTAAAGGACGTTTACTTTAGAATTGTGATTTTTATTTGAATCACTAGTGAAGTATTTAAATAATTTATTTTTGCCAAAGGACTTATTTTATCTGTCTCCTCAGAGTGATATCCTGAAAAAATACTTAAAAGAGACCGGTGCTTTGATGGCATAAGGAGAATGGAAACTTTCTGAATTTAGTTTATTTTACACTGCTTTTCATCTAATGTTTACAAATGGTAATTAAAATGCCCTGAGAACTTCACAAGCAAGTATTAAAAGCACATTAGACACTAAAAGAAGGGCAAACAGAAACAACTGTAAAAGCCCATCTACAATAGGGCTCATTTTGTCATTAAAGAAAAATAAGATAGTTCTAAGCTATTAAAATAAGAGTAACCACTGTATTTCCTCATTCAATTATGCAAGTATGCAGTCACAAATCTCAAATAGGTATTATTTAAAAAAAAACAAGATATTTTCTGTGGAAGTCCTTTGTAAAAAACTGTCCTCTTTTACCTATGCACATAATCTGGGACCATGAAAACAAATAAGAAAACAATACCTGTCATGTACCTACAGTATCATTGTGCTAGGAATTAATATGTATCCTAGGTAAAAAGGTTAAAATTGTTTGCTGAATTATCTGAATCATAAAATATATAAAGCCAGTTGTATTCCTTCATTTGTCATTGTGCTGTTGCTGACTCCTGTCGTACATCAGAAATGCACATAACTCATTAAAGCTTTCTCACCCATCAAGTCACAAGTTATTTCAGAAAACAATTTCATTTCAAAGTGTATTTTATAGGAGACGGAAGCTTTTCATGAACTCGTATAACTGAATTGTTAAAAAAGCCACCCATTATGTTATATACAGAAAGCCGCATAGAGCCCTTTCTGCTTGAATCTCAGAAGTGTCTCTGTAAAGCAGCACTTCAAATGAATTGAAATAGCACCACTTCAAGAGGAAGCACAAAAATACATTTGGAATTGGTGTGGTTTATTTCGGTTCTTGTTTTTTTGCAATAGAAATGTTCAACAGAAAGTGTTTCTGAACTGCCTATTTGTATTGTGTTCTACACAGTAATATAATCATTCATAAAATGTATAAACTATAATTATGCATAAAATGTCTTATACTTTTACAAGTTTAAAAGTAAAGTTTGAAGTGTGAACTGGTTCTTAATACTTATTATTTTCTGCTTGAATTTAAACGCCTGCTGAATATACAGTAGTCCAAATATGCTGGATTGGCATTCATTGACAATCTGAAATTTGTAGAAGAAAATTTACAGTAAATAAAAAATACACTTAGTTACAATTGAGCAAACAGTACCTTTATATAAGATGGGCTTTTTTGGGGGGCAGTTGAGCTTTTAAAAAATGAAATGCACAGCTGGTGCATCAGCTAATGCAATTAAAACGATCAGCTTTAAATACAGGATGTTTTGTTTACAAAGAACGTATCATACAGACTGTAACTCATGTTCTTCAAATTGTTATCACCCTCGCCACATCCTCCCTTATCAAACTGCACACCCAGCAGGCACAGCTGACGGACAGAAGCAGGTTTTCAGGGATGGTGCAATCTGAACAACCTCTAACACTCGGAGCCTGTCAGTGTGTGATGCGGGAGTTATCTAACCTACTATACTGTAACTGAAGAAACATACTCAAAAACATCACAATGAAAATCCTGCAAGAACGGGTTGCTAAAAAAATGTTAATACTCACAAACCCATAACCAGTGCTTTCTTCTTCACATATAACACTTACAAGAGAAATCACTAAAGCTTCAGGGGTAACCACGAGCCAGCAAGAGAAAGTTTAATGCAAGAACATTTCTGATATGCCAAAGAACCCTGGTGAGCTGGATGCTGAAAGAATAAAACCACATGTGCATTAATATGGGACGAATGACTAAATAAACATATAACTTTACGTCGGGACTAATTGCCCTAATTTGTAACATAAACACACAGTTTTTAACTCACCAGCGTGTCTTGAATGTGGTGTTTCTGCACAGTTTCAGACAACTGGTGGAGCAATAATGAGAAAGTCAATTCTTCAAGGTCTGCAAAAGTAATTTCCCCCCCAAAAGTATTTAATTTCCTTTCTCAAGGAAGCTTCATAAATGTGGTACAACCAAACGATTTGCCTATAGAACTTTAATGGGAGTGCAGTGGCCACGTACTGTATATACAGTACTCATCCATTTGAGGAACATATGCAGATGTGTAGGAGAAGAAAGAAGCCCAATTTAACATAATGTATTACACCACCACCCCATTTTCTAAAAGACTTTTTAAAATGAATATCAACCATTTTAACAGTAGCTTGTGTGGTGTCCAATTTTAAATTTATTGTAAAGGAAATAGCCAGTGTTTTACAGCTTTAAATTTAAAATTTTAATTTAAAAATACAGATAACCTTTCAATAGATGATAACAACGTAATTAAAAATATATATATATATCTATTTAACTTGATTTCAAGATATGGTACACATATCTCTTAACAGCAACTTAACTTTTGTCACTTTTTAAGACATGTTAAATTATCACTGCACACATCTTTGGAGGATGTAATCTCCCTGACTCGTTGACAGCTTGACCCGAGAAGCAGTCGGGAATCACATCTGGATTCACGTCACAGAGCTCTTGTAACTGTGAGCAAGGTACTTCACGGGAACTGTTTCTGTAAAATAACCAGCTGTATCCAGTGGGTGCAAATAGCCATAAGAAAAAAAAAAAGCATCAAGCAAACTAAATAACTACTGTAGGGTGCTTTTGGGGGAATAACCCCAATCTTCTTGAACTGGTGCAGGTACTGTATCATAAATGTCCATTATTTTCTCTCAAATGCAGATTGAAATGTCACTACTTTCATATTAAGACAAAATGACAGTAATCTACTCTGTGAACTGAATAAACAATTCAATATACTCCAAGATGTTGTAATGTGTTCTAAATATATTCACTTTATAATATTCATTTTTCATGTAGAAAATCCAATTTGTGTTGTATTTCATTTAGAATTTATAATAATGTTTTAAAAAAGATGCGAGAAGAAGAAATACTAACTCACATCATCATCACACTGAATAATAACAAAATTAACACACTATACTAACGAGTAAGAATCAGATCTAATGCCTGTAATAACAGGTTTAAGTGCAGTAGGAAAGATGTCACAAACTGCATTGGAAATACTTAGAACACTGCAAAAGTCTAAAAGCAGTTGTTGTAAAAAAAAAAAACACTTTTTACTTAAAACCACAAAAGTATTAGCACATTAATGAACTCTTGCGCTGCATTTTCATCTCACACTCTGACGCAATGGTTAAAAGAAAAAAAAAGTGCTACCGGGGTCAAGTAGCCTGTGTCCAAAATAAATTGCATGCTTTTCTAAGGCATAACCATTTTAATATTGCAGATTTATTGTAAGTTGCTTTTTGGAGGCAGATCATATGCATGTGGTCAGTACTGAGTCTCTGACCCAGCCTCCAGCTCACATTACACACTATTTATAACATCCCCTCCACTTTCTCCCCCCTTAAAGCCCTTCCTTGGAACCACCTTCCACTGGCTTCAGCCTCCCTTTCTGTCATCTGAGAATCTCTTCAGCGGCTTATCTTGGGCTCTGTGTTTATCCAAAGCAGCCTGGCAACTGTCGTGAATGATCTGGATTATCTGAGGAGCTCCCTTTTTTGCAGAAAAAAAAGTTTGCCTCTGTCTTTTTCAGGGGGAGAAAAAAAAGTTAGTTGAGTATATGAGGTGAAAACTAAAAAGGGGTGGCGTTATTGGGATCTTTGTGTTGCTTTTTTTTCCCGGTTTCTCGTTCTTTTCCTCTCTGGAACCTCACGTTTGCATGACATGGATCACACGCTGTTCGGCTGCCTGCGCAGCCCTCATGCCCCCGCGCAGGGCTTGCACCCTGCCTTCTCGCAGTCCTCCCTGGCCCTCCACGGAAGAACGGACCACGTTTCTTACCCTGACCTGTCCACCTCCTCGCCCTCCTGCATCATAGCTGGATATTCCAACGATGAGGGCCTGTTCGCCAGCCAGCATCACAGAGGGCACCACCACCACCAGCAGCACCACCACCACCACCACCAGCAGCAGCAGCAGCAGCAGCATCATCACCCCTCCAGCTGGCACATTCCACAGATGCCCTCTCCTCCCGCTGCCACCCGGCACAGCCTCTGCCTGCAGCCCCCGGACTCCGCCGCCACAGATCTGGGGCCCAGCCCCCCGAACCTGTGCGCGAGCACACCCAGCCTGGGCAGCACCACCCCCACGGGGGCATCCTGCGCACCTGGGGACTTCGGCAGGCAGGCGCTGTCTCCCGCAGAGGCAGAGAAAAGGAGCAGTAAAAGGAAAAGCCATGGCTCAGGTAAGACTGGGGGGGCCGCCGTCCTCGCCTCTCCTCACCCCACGACCTGCTCGTTCCCCATGTGGGAACGCACGCGCGCGCTTCGGGGCTCGCCCTGCGGGAGCCAGAGAGTTAAAGAGTATCTGCTGCGGGGAAAGCTCACTGCTGGCATCCAGAATCTCAGGCAAAGTTTCGAGCCTGTCTATTTCAGCTGCATACTGAAGGCTGAGCTCCGCCACTCGTATTGCAAATGCGCAGTCGTTTTGTGGAAAATATTCTCATTTATGGATTCCCAGGGCTATTGAAAACATTATACAAAAATGTTGTTTCCCTGTGGGGGAATAATACAATATGTCCATCTCTCAATGACGAGATTGTTAACTGAGTTTTGACAGAACATGGAGCCTTGCGGGGCTCAATTTGAAAGAATAAAAAGTGTAGTGTAGTGAGAGGTGTAAGGACCTGTAATGGCTGCTCACACACTGTCCTAAGAAGATCTGTAAGGAGTAGTATAAAATATGTACAGTTTGTAATATGTTAGTTTAATTTAAAGAATAGATTTCAGCAGGCAGGTATGATATAAGATTTTGGAATACTATCATGCCTGCATGTCTTAGAAATGTTGGCAGGCACCTTGATTCTGTTCTTTTGAACTGAACTTTTAGCTGTTGGTAAGAGTACGTAAAAGATCCTTTCATTGGCTTGTTTCAAGGAGCAGGTACTGTACTTTTTTTCAGCATTTAGTTAGTTTGCAAGTGAACCACTTTGTTGACACTTTCACGTAAAATATTTGATTTCAGATTCATTTTGAGGCACGTTAACACGGAAAATGATGAGGAGTTGTAAAACCTTCTCCGAAAATGTAAAATTTAACACCTGAACATCTTGGGCCTCCTTTAAATTTTTTTCCGACATCTGTGTGTAATGGCTCATACCGCGTCAGGCTGAAAAGACTGAAACTTGAAAGAGACTAAGCATCTGAGGCAACCGGAAAATTATTTATGTTTACAGAGATAACTATAGAATTATTCACAAATATTCGAAAGAATTTTGGTATTTAGTATTTTAAATAAGATAAAATTCACATTACCAAAACATTTAGGATTTTTCACATGATAATGCTGATTATTAAAGTCCACAGTTATATTTTATAAATACTGTAGATTTCTAATCAGGTTAACTACGCAAGGGTGTGTTCCCAAGTTTTTACAGGTAATTCAATTATTTTTAATTTGAAATACGATCATGAAATGATGGGCAAAGTGCTTGATACATGTTTTCCTTGCATTTTGCAGTTGAACGTTTAATTTAAATCAAATAGATTAAAATCTGATACACATAATAAAAAAAGGCTGATAAAATCTCACTGATAGAAAGGATAATATGTACTCAATTATATGCTTTATATCATAGAAATATTCCTGGATTGAATTGGAAAAAATCTATGGCACTGCAGCCCAAACATAAGGGTTATAAAAGTTTTCAGTGCATCTCGGAAAACTATTTTAACAGAAACAGAAGCTCCAATAATGTTTACTATTTCCATCAGACCTGTAAAATTTACACTTTTGTCTGTCATTAGTTAACCTGAACAAAATGCCCCCCAAAAGCATCCATTCCATACAGTATGTACTTCTCTACTGAAGAAAAATTGTAAAATTGTAAACTTACAATTATTCAGTTATGTACATTTAACTTGTCTGGGATACTGAAATAAAGAGGAGATTTTTACACTCTCCAGTTTTACTACTAGAGCAGAATAACAAATAGTGTTACCTTGTTAAATAGGATTTATTGTGAACTGTATAATACACAAACATTTTAAAGCAATGTTGTCCTAAATATTTTAACATAGCGCATTTAATGAAAGAATCACAAATTATATTCTGAATTGTAATGCTCATTTTTGTCTCAATAGATTAAGAAAACAGTTGGGATTAAAAAAAAAATCTTTGTAAAAACCCCAGGCATCAAATTCAGCACGTTCCATGTCCGCTACAGTGACAAGATAGTCTGACTTCAAAGTCAGCACTTCCTTTCAATGTTATAAATAATGTCACTTAGTGATAGTTAAAATGTAGGAAAACTGTTCAAATTTGTCATCTCCGGCATTAGCATCTGATAATGAACTTTACTAGGTGTAAAATAGGAAACAAAAGATTAATACCTGTACATAGGACTGTAATTGTGAAATTTTCAAACACGGAAGAGCTTATCTCAAATATTTCATACTTCTATGAAAATAAATGTATAAATTTAAATGGAAGATCAAACTTTAATCAATGCTATTGCAACCCTCTAGCCATAATAGAGTCACGACATACTGTAATAACTCTTGGTTTAAACTAGGATTTCATTTTGGACAAATTACTTTTTACTGAATGTCATTTTATTGCAGACTCTTAATTGATGCACTGAATGTTTTTGTTTCATGAAAGCATTTGTAACAACTATGACTTTCTTATTACATGCACAAGTGTGGCCACAAAAGAGGTGCATTTCAAGGCTTGAAAATAATAAAAAGAAAGTGGACTGCTGACATTAATTCTTTATTAATTCAGCCAGTATTTAGTTCTTACCTCAGACTTAGTTATTGTAAATATTGGATATCTCATCCTAACAAATATCCACTCATCTTCAGAGAAAGTAATGCCTTTTTTCTTCTAATTATTTCAATTATTCTCGTCCGTGGATAACTTTTTCTATTTTAACAGCTTCACTTTATCAAATCTCTTGCAGACATTTTAGTGTACAATATTGTAACTATTTAGATAAATGAAAATAGACTTATTGTGCAGCTGTTGAAATGTTTTGTTATTATTTTAAATGAAATTAAATGTGAACTTTAGAATCTGAGAAAATGCACTGAATTATTAAAGAATTGAACGACAATGATGATTATCAATCATCATTAAAACAAACAAGGCTTGTTTACTATTTGTTTCTTTGCCACTTAAAATATACGTTACTCAAAAAATAAGTTCACAAAGGTCAAATGCAAAGACCTAAGGAAACTCAACTAAACACTCAGCCCCGTGTTAAATGCTAGTGATTGGTGTCTGACCCTCTTTGGTCCAATAGCATTCTTCTGAAACAATTCCCCCTAAAATTGCACTTAATATGGAAAATAAACAGTATTAATTTTTATTAGAATTAATTATAATCTTTCCTGGTCTGAATTAATTTCCATCATCAATCAACAATTTAAGACATGTTTTGGCTTTAAATATAATGTATTTTTTCATTCGGTCTTATTTATTTTTTCTCCTTATTTAGATAATGGTTAATTAAGAGTAGTTAAATAGTTAAGGTTAGGGGGGCTCTAGTGCTTAATGAAAACCACGGCATCTGAAATATAAACTTTTAAAGAGGGTCTCACAACCTTTTTTTCATTTTCGTATTCAAATAACATTCGTGCTCAAAAGTATATACAAGAAAAAATCTGTAAGCCACTTGTTAAAATAAGAAGAAAGTTCTTCAAAGCAATGTATTTTTCTGTGTTGCGTGTTATAAACCTCACGATCAGTGTCTGCTATCCATGCACTTCCATTATCCGTCATTAACATCTAAGATCAACATTCGTTTTTTTCACCTTCACAAAAGCAAAAAGGAAAAGAAAGACTAAAATGGTGTTCACCATGCTCAGAAATAACCCACTGGACTTTATCCTGGAATTACCAACAGCCTTTATCTACCACTAGGGAGAAAGTGGGCATTCAGAAGGTTTTCGTCTCTTCTTTGAAGAAAACTGGGCGCAATATTTCACGAAACATTTGGAACATAAATTATGAAGTTCAGCGAATGTAAAAGCGCTGAGGTCAGGATTGGATCTTGTCTGTAGAGGCATGAGGCCATTTTCACCGAAAGGCTGCAACTGCTGAGAGAGCCCTGCTTGAAATTCTGAAGCTCCAGACTCATTCCTCCATCTTTAACTTCACAATCATGGTTACAGAAAAGTAAACACTTACAGTAGAAAACTGCACAAATTTTAAAAGTCCTAACACCAGTTTTAAAAGACAGTACACATAGTTGTGTTATCATGGCATCAATTGTAAATCCCTCCTTCTGTGCATTCATAGAAAATTCAAAGTGATTCTCTTATTCATGTTGTAGATTGTCTTTTTTTTTTTAAAATAGAATCACTTAATTCTTCAAGTGCCACTAAAATAACGCCGGAGTACGGTACACTCACTTCATCTTCCTCAGATGCTTACAGTCTTGCATCATAGCTTCTACTTGTGGTTTTGTACCAATTTCACAGTTTTTATCTTCACATTCATCACGTTTCATTGAATTGCGACAAGGTTTAAATCTGTTACAATTCACTCATTTGTCACGGATGTGTTATGATTTCCAGCTGTATTTTAAAGATAACAATTCCAAAAAGCACACCTTTAGTTCTGCTTTAGATCTCCAACAATAAAAATGAACATGTTATGTTTTATTACTTTTTTCCCACTTCAAAAAAGTATTCCCACAAATGTAGTCTGTTTTAATCTCAGACCCTGAATAGTGTTAAGTAGCAAGCCTTTGCGATTTAAACAGTCATTGGTCTCTTATGCCAGGATTGTACAGTACCTATGCTGTTACAGGCTACAAACATTTTTCTGAGAAAACTTTTTTTTTTACTTTACCAGAAATGGCTTCAGGCACTGTTTCACTACAGCAGCCTATTATTTTACTTCCCTTGCACAGCACCACTGCATTTATAAATCACTTTTAAACACGGGGAATTATTAGGAAATTAAGAAGAAAGACTTTATCTGTACAACGGAGGATGTAAGAATTTTATAGCCTGTCTGCTCTTTACACCTCATAAAGTAATCCTTGACTCTTAATGTAAAATTCAGATAAGCGACAGTTGATCATACCAAACCGTTTGTGTGAAGATGAGTTATGAGTTTGAATGTTAAGACTCATACTCAGTCATGTAATAAAATAAATGAAATATTTCTGCGGTTTTTATTTGATTTTATGAAATCCTTTATCTCTACCTCCAAAGTAACCTGAAGACAACTATT